TTTATTTAGACTCCAACAGTCATTCTTCAAGTGACCCTTCTTTCCACAGTTGTAGCACTTTAAATTCTTCTTGCTTCTCGACTTCGATCTACCATGTTTGTGACTGCTGCTTTGGCCACGTTCTGTTGATATCTCTCTCATTGTTGTCAATGCTTCTGTTTGTTGCAGATTTACTTATCTGTCTTTCTTGTTTTTACGTCGATTTTCTTCTTGTAGAACAACAGCTGCAATGTCATCGAAGACTAGACTGGTGACATTATTGTTTGTCAAGTTGATGATGAGCTGATCATACGAATCAGGTAGACTTTGAAGTAGAAGTTCAGCACGTTCTTGTTCTCCTATTGTACATCTTAAGGATGTAAGTTGAGAAAATAAAGTGTTCAATGTGTTTAAGTGCTCCGTCACTGAAGTAGATTCTGGCATACGGAGAATGTACAATTTCCTCTTAAGGAAAATTTTATTGTGCAACGATGTGGCCTCATACAATTTGGTGAGATGATCACATATCTCCTTAGTTGTCTTCTTCTCCTCGATGCTTGACAATACTTCATCTGCTAATGCTAGATGAAAGTTTGCCATAACATTCCTGTCCATTTCAATCCATTTGTTGTCATCTGTGAAATCTACCGGCCTGTCACTGATAGCTGCTAGACAACTTTCTTTCCTCAATATCACCTTTATCTTTAATTTTCACAATGAGAAATTTCTCTCATTTAACTTTTCAATATCAAATTTCGTTGCCATAACTTCTATTACGGATAACTCCCACTATTTCACTATAGTTAATAGTTCTCTGGAACCTTCAAAGAATGAGTAATACCTTCTTACTTTCTTATGTTGGAGGATCCACCTTTTAGTGGCAACCACAAAGACAATAAGTAGATATTACACACTATAATCTGGCTCTGATACCAATTGTTGCGGAATACGACTATCGGATAGAGCAAAATCGCAACTGATAATTTGAGAAAATAAAAAATGAAGATAAAGAAGACACAAATTTTACGTGGAAAACTCCCAAATAATAAAGGGTAAAATCATGGGCAACAGTAGAAGAATTTCACTATGAGAAAATATGAATTACAACTTCTCTCGATCTAACAATGAGATAACAATGATAATTCTCTTTTGATAAAAAGGAGAAAACAATTCTCAAGAAAACTCTCTAATTTCTCTAGTATTGGGAGAAAACTATAATGATTTGGGATGATTTTGAAGCTAAATGGGATAGAGTATTTATAGTTAAAGTTTAAGGACTAATCTTGTAAATACTCTAAAGTCTAGGGACTAAAATACAAGTTCCCCTTACTCAATTTTTCAACCAAATTTCGGTGGAATTATTTTGTTTGTTTTTTTCCAACTTTCCACCGAAAGTTTGGTGGCAGTAGCTAATTTGGACTTTCCAAATTTGTATTTCAACATGAATCACTAACCATTACTTCAAAGGTGAGATAGATGCATAAGCATATCGACATATAGATAATCACTCACTATAAGTAAGTTTAACATCAAAATGAGGATCTTCAGGTCCAAGAAAAACATTCGAATGTCGCTCCTCGGGTATGTTACGCTTCCTTAACACCTTCATTCCGAAGCATTCAGTGTAAACATGCAATTCCATTAATGATTTAATTTTACATCCTTAAAATTTTTGTAATTTCATGTCTTTAAATTTTTATATGATCTTTCAAAAGTCTATATTTTAATATAAAGTCATGTATCTATCCCTAAAAGGACTAAGGTATTTTCATGGAGAAAACTATGACAGAACTGATACAAAAGGCAACGTTGCCACATCATATTTGTTCTTCTTTTGTTCATGGTCATCCCAGTGGCAGATGTGTGTGTTTTCTTGGGTGTGATTGTTTTCATTTTTAAATTTTATTTTACGTTAGTTGTCTATTTTATTAATATTGTTTATTTTAAAATTTTGTTTGTGTTAAAATTTTATTTCTGTTAAAATGATTATACAATTAGTGAGTGTTGGGAAATGAAGTGAAATTAAAATTTGAATTTTAATGTGTATTTTTTAAATTTCATATTACAATATACTTTATGAAAAAAATCCTCGAATCATTATAATTTTTGTTTTTTTACCATATAATTTTATTCTATATTTAATTTTTATTAATATATTAAATAATTTTGTAATATAAATTCAATATTAATCAACTCTTAATTTTTGAAGTGTATAGCTTCATATATTAATAGTGCATCAATATCAACCGTTGAATCAAATATGCCTTTTGATATATGCCAATTTCTTTCGTGTTTAGTTTTTTGTCTTTTAACATTGAGAATTTGTTTTATTTTTTAACAAAAATTGATCCCAAAGTTAGCTTCTTCTTCCAGGACCTCGGAATTTTTATCTAAACGATTGATGAATAAGAAAAGAGAAAAAAAAGTAAAAAAGAATTGAAGCGTGCAATTGCTATAGTATTGAACTACATGATACGTTTTGCTGTTTAGAAGGATGATGTCGTTTATCTTTAATCAAATGTTGTTATTTATATTTTAATAATTTTTATTGTATTATTTTTATTTAACAATTTTTAAATAGTTTGGGATGATTAAGAAATATTACTTGTTCATAAGTTTTTTTAGTCTATTGATAAGATGTGCACATCTTACAAATGTAGATGTTCGAGTTCGAATCCTCTAAGAAAAATAATATCTTTTTACTACAAGGGTTGTTCAATGATTCTTACCGGCGGAGTGAGATTAATATATATTATTATAAATGAGAAGAAATGTGTTTAGTATAGATATTATATAAAAGGACATATGTTAAAAGAATAAATAAATTTATTGTTTTCATTTCGTGCAGCATTAGTTTATGTATGTGACAATCTGGGAATTAGCTTTTGATTATTTATTTATTTATTATAGCGGTGGATTATTATCTTCAAAGTGATGGATTAACCCTTTTCACCAGAAAAAAAAGGAGCTTTAATTTTTCAGAAACAAATTATAATGTCTCATGTTAGATGACGTTGATGTTGGTTTCATATTTAAATAATGTAATTATTGATTTGAACCAAATATAAATGCTTTTAAATTTAAAAAAATTCTATACTAGTGATAAATATATAAAATCACAGTGATAGAATTGTGAAAAAGAAAAAAAATAATGATTTATTCTAAGTAAAGAAAATACCTAGTGAATTATGTTAATTTTTACTATACCTAGTAAAGTCATTTACAATTGATGATGATTTTGTGAATTTGGTTTCAATATTATTTAATTTTGAAAAGTTATTACTTATTAAGTGACTTCGAGGGATGATTTTGAAAAAGTAATTATTAACTGTAGATAATTTTATAAAAAACAAAAATTGTTTAAAGTCAAAATAAAATTGAAATAAGCATATATAGATGAAATTGAATAGAATAAAAATATGAGGTATCAAATAAAAATTATCCTTTTGATTAGTTTTTCTTTCTTTTTGATTAATTTAGGTTGCTTACAAATAATATTATGTGTTCTAAAAACTCTCGATCATTTGATAATAAATACTCGAATACCTTATAATCTTTGTTACTCGGACCTAAAATCTCTAAAATTAACAATGATTCTTTTAATCATTAAAATGATGTATTTTGATTAATCATACTCCCTGCCTTATAACAAAATATGTTTATCCACCAACATACCAAGTCGGAAATATTTTACAAAATTCATGGGGTAAACAGTTGAATTGACAATTTTAATCCCAAATTTAATTAGAGTAAGAAAATTTTATTAAATAATTAATAAAATTTTATTAAATTAACAATTTTAATCCCAAACTTAATTAGAGTAAGAAAATTTAGTTACTCTTTTTTAGTCATCTCACTATTAAATAATTAATGGTGTTATGTCTATTATTTAAAATTATAAGAGGCCTTAAATCTTTCTTCTTATTTGTGAAAAGAATCTCAAAGTCCAATTGATTTTATGGAATATATTCTTTTAGATTCCAATAGTGGAGAAGTAGAAAAAGAGTAGAAAGGCGGACGTCTCTCAGGTGCGATAACTTTAATATATCGTTAAGAAAAGGTATTATCGGAAATACTATTATTTTTTTAATATTTCCAGTAAAACGTTACCTAAAATATTATTTTTCTACCAGAAATGTTAATATTAGGCGTTACCTAAAATATTTATTTTTCTACCGAAAATATTAATATTGGGCGCTACCTAAATTATTATTTTTCTATATCTTACGTTAAAGGAAGACGTTAAAAATAAAAATTTCAATATCGACATACACATTGATGAAACTTTAAGAGTTTTATAAAGGAAAAAAGGAAAAACGTAGCTAACAAGTGGTTTCTACATCAACTAAATGAAGTCCACGATAGCATAAAACTGTTCAGGTCACCATGTTGTTTCTTATTTAACATTTGAGTGACTAAAAAGGAAGCAATATAAAAATTTTAATGATTAAATTAAAAAAAAAACCTACAATTTAGTAACCGGAACAGGAATACGTATAAAGTTGAGCGGCGAGATTTATAATTTGGTTAAAGTATATAAATAGTCGTCAAATTTTTAAGTCACTTACATTTTGGTCACCCAGATTTTGAAACTTGTAATATGATCATCGAACTTTTAGTTCGTTTTTAATAAATTCTTTGCCGTTACCTTCTCGTTAGTTTTTACTGACGTGACAGTTAACCCTCCGTTAACCTTATTATTTTTTTTTGGCAATTGACCCTTCTTCTTCAACTCCCGTTGACCCCTTCTTCTTCTTCCTTCTTCTTCTCTCCTAATCCAACTCATTCTTTCTCTCTCTAGAACCAAATTTTACTGCCTCCCAACGAAGACCTGTAAATGTAGACTAGATGTCTCATAAAGTAGTAATGTTAAGCAACAGACGAGACGTTAAGATGGGAGTACATTAAATAACTCACAGTTTCATGTATCAAGTGACGGTAGCACTGTAAACGCTCACACAAACTGAACAACGAGCCATCAGGCTGCTGCCGCATGAAAGCTACAGTCTCTTCCCACTCAAATGGTAAATCAACTCCTGAAGTGCAGAGCTTCATTAGCTATTTTCAGCAAAGAAAATGTATAATCGAATTGAAGGTAAGTAAAAGAAAGCGGTGAACCATCGATATCTAAGCCAGAGAATTATTACCAATAGGAGTGGTCTTCGTCATATGCAGCCTGGCTGCTACTATTCCCAAAGTCTCTAATGGTGCTGCCAGCTGAAAGAAAGCAACTCAACTCAAGATTACTTTATATCCCATTCCCAGTCACTAAAGATTCAAGAATGAATTTTGACAACAATCCAAATTGAGCAACAAAGCATAATAGGCAATAAATTCAACTTTAGAAATAACGTTAACCATGATACAATAAACTTTCCCATAAAAACCAGGATTACATAAAAGGAAATTTTTGTTGATAAAAATGTAAATTACAGCATATTGCATGTTCGACACATATGCTAAAACACTTGGCAGGAGCCAAGGGGAAACTTAGTACATCTTCGATGATCATTGTAGATTAACTGCAACAACCAGCAGACGGGACATAAACTATTAAAATGAAGATATTTTCAAGAAAACACAATACGAAAAAGGACAAAAATTGATTCCATGGGACAACGTATAAAATGTTCAAACTTGAAAGAAAGAAAGAAAGAAATCAAACCTTGATAAATTCATCATGGAGGCCAAGAACTCTGTCAACGAAAAAACACACATTTCTGAACTCATTGACAAGAAACTCAACACAATCATAACCCTCGTTTTCTAATTTGAGGTTCCTTCTGGGAACCACCACAGCAATCTCGAAAACAATAGGGTCCTCTTCTTCAATCCCATTCATTTTCCAGAACCCAAATTCAAAAGGAAAGAGAAGAAACACCTGAATCTAGACCCTGTAGCTCAAAAGAACCAATGAGGTTTACAAAAGGAACCTGTTTGGGATCCCTTCCTCCCATCGACCTGCATTCGAAAGTAACGAAAGGTGAAATCTTTACTTTCGTTGTAATGACTAAAAAAATGGGGTCAAAAGAACCAAGAAAGAAGGGGTCAACGGGAAAAGAAGAAGAAGAAGAAAGAATAACTGCCATGTCAAAAAAAAAAGTTAACTGTCACGTTAAAAACTAACAGAGATAATGTCAATGATCTTATTGAAAATAAATTAAAAGTTTGATGACCGTATTATAAGTTTCAAAAGTTGGATGACCAAAATACAAGCATCCTAAAATTGTATAGACTATTTATATACTTTACCCATATAATTTTACCAATAAACAAAGACAGTCGAAACATTACACACATGCTTATATATAGCTCTGTCATCGAGCAAAGTACAGCCAAGCCAGCTCCCAATTATCTTAAAGCTGCTAAGCCAGGCCCAGTCTTTTGATACTCTCCTGTCATCACCATGCCAAAAATCACCTTGGGAACTACCCGAGAGGCTTCTCAGCCTGACTGCATAAGAGCGCTTGCTATGAGTTTATCACCACTTTCTTCTTCGTCTTCGCCGGAGTTGGAGCTGCAATGACCGCCTGTAATCAAACATTCATCAGCTTAAATTTCAATATTATCATGAATCAACATCCTTTTTATGTTTTTTAAACGTTTTGTTATAATCAACAGATGAGTTGGGAGGAAATACACTTGTGGGGTTGTTCGCGGTGGCGGTGGCTCATGCTCTTGTGGTCGGCGTTATGATATCGGCCGGACACATATCCGGCGGCCATCTTAACCCAACCGTCACGATCGGATTGCTATTTGGCGGTCACATCCTTTACTGGATCGATCAGTTGTTGGTAACTTGGCATCTTCGGCTGCTTGTATACTTCTCAAGTATCTCACCGGAGGATTGATAACGTCTAAATAACTTTTTAAATTTAGTAGAATTATTTCATTATTTAATTCTTTTGTGTATTGTAGAGAACACTCCAGTTCATACGTTAGCAAGTGCAATGGGGTTCCTTCAAGGCATAACATGGGAGATTATCCTGAGTCCCTGACTTTCGCCTTGTTATTCACAGTGTACGCCACAATGGTGGACCCAAAGAAAGGTTCCATCGATGGACTTGGTCCGATGCTCACCGGGTTCGTTGTTGGTGCCAACATCTTAGCCGGTGGAGCTTTCTCCGGTGCTTCGATGAACCCGGCTCGGTCATTCGGGTTTATTGGGTTGGACCTCTAATCGGGGGCTATCTTGCTGGTTACCAAGCCGGACCCAATATATGTGTCAGATGGGCCTTAATCTAGGACAGCATGTTTGAGAGGCATCATGTTCATGTTAGGGTCAATGGAACAAAGCTTTAACAATGGAGGCAAAGGTGGGATGACTGAAACGTCTAAACTCATGCTTAGTATATATAGCAAGTGGATAAAAACACATGCGTTTTTCTCTTTTATATGGGAAAAGAAATCGGCATGACAGAAAAGGTCTAAATTCATGCTTAGTATATATAGCAAGTGGGTCAATGGTGGGATGAATAATGGAGGCAGCTTCCCCATTTGTATCCTTCAAAACTCCGACAACTTTATTTAAGAAAATGTCATTTGGTATTTTAAAATATACATATATTCTTATGTTTTTATTTTTTTATGGGGTAAAGTACACAAATGGTCTCCTGACTATAGGACACTGTTTGGTTGAGTCCCCGACTATAAAAGCTACAAAATGATCCCTTAACTATAAGGAGTTACTTTGTTGAGTTTCTCGACTATTAAAAGTTAAAATGGTCATCCAACTATTTATTATATTTCAAACTTGTCCTTTTCCGTTAAAAAATTAACGACAATCTGAGTTGGATGTTAACCTGTTGGCTGAGTTATGATAATATATGATCTAATAATTTAAAACGACTACCATAGCTCAGTCAGCATGTTAACATTCAAATCAAACTACTGTTAATTTTTCAACAAAAAAAGACAAGTTTGGAGCATAATGAATAGTCGGGTGACCATTTTGTAACTTTTAATAGTCGAGAGACTCAACAAAGAAACCTCCTGTAATCAGAGGATCATTTTGTAACTTTTAATAGTCAGAGACTCAACAAAGCATTATCCTATAGTCGGGAGACCATTTGTATAGGGGCATAAAATTATTATCTCGTCTAAAACATTAAAACTCATTAGATCGACCCTGCTGGTTACATCTATGAGAATTTCTTCATTCTCGGGACTCATGTTCCCCTTCCCCATGAAGATGGCTTTTAAGTCTTGATTAACTTTATGGTCTCCTTGTTTCTCAATGTATTAAGTTTTAATTTTTTTATAAAAAGACACTAGTTTTATTAAAAGTAAAAAATATTCAGAATTACAATGAAGATTTACAAGTATAATATAAATATAAACAAAATTATAATTAAGATATTTTCATATAACCATTGACATAAAATTATAATAAGGAAAAGGTTAAAAAATATAACCAAAAAGCTCGAACAAAATAAAAAAACGAATATATTTGACTGCATCGGTAAACGAACTACAAAAGGGGATGAAGCTATTGAAGGTCATCGAAAAATCGTAAATCAGAGTCAAGCGACGTAAAAAACTATCCACGAACGCAAAACACATATCCAAATCAATTTGAGGGTCTAAAGTATGGAAGATCATCATGATAACAAATAAGTGACATCTTGATCAGTCATAATGAAGTCAAATTCAACCCTGAGAAAAAAGATAAACGAAAATAACGGCAAAAATCGTAATATACCAAAAGGTAGAGAAAAACGAGATACAAAGTCAGAAATAAACGTGCTATAAAGGTAGAGAACATGTCACAAATATATAATTATTCTTATTAAAAAACTAAAGAAAAAAAATAACTAACATCAAAACCGATGCCGCCGCTAATTAAATAAAATTAAAAAAAATTAGATTGATCAATAAAATTACCATAATTTATAAAGGAAAAAAAAGGGAAAAGAAAGAAGGAAAGAAAACGGCTAGGGTTTAAAAGTCTGTATTAAATTTTAATTAAGTGTGTATAGTTACTTCACTTTGTATTTTTGTTTGATAATCTATTTTAATTAATAATCGAATAAGAATTATATTTTATTCATTAAAATTTAAACATAATTACATGAACAGAATTCTTCTGCCCCCATTGTGTCTCTTTAGGTGCCCCACCACTAGTTTCTTGACACGTGGATGAGTAAATAATAAATAAATTAACAGTGATTTTCCGTTTACCTCTGTTGTTTCCCTTCCTTTGGATAATTTTATTCCATCATCCTTACTTTGGATTTACTGTTAAGTGAAAATTCTTCTTTTTCATCTCTTTGCTGCATTGCCATCAATTTCATGTTTTGCTATCAATTCACGATCATCTCTTCACTACTTTCGATGCTTTGATTTTATTAGTTCCATCACATTTCCTTCTACACATACCTTTCCCAAATCATTTATTCGTCAACATTTACTTCACCCATCACCTTTTCTTCACTCCTCATCATCAAATCCTCAATTTTTCTACTCTTAAACCATCTAAAAACCTGATTTTTCTTCAATCATTTTCCTTTTCAAGCTTCACTTTGACACCGATATACGCAGGCTCTTTTGTTATTGGCTCCAGTTTCAGTATCACACTGAAACAATTCAAGAATTGGGGATAACGGAATCATATATATGAGAAGCTCTAATTTTTTTTCTGATGATGATTCATCATTAAAATATACATTTTTTATATATTTTAATAATCTTGGATGTAAATTCTTAAATTATTAGCAATCTAACAGATGATTTAATCATCTTCAATAAATGACTTGGAAAATATTGGTACAATAGTCTGTGAAGAAGAAATGTGACAGAGATGACCGTGAATTGATAGCAAAACATGAAATTGATGATCATGGAGCAAAGAGATGAGAGGAAGAATTGAGTATGCATAAGAGAAACAAATTTCACTTAACAATGAATCCAAAGTAAGGACGCTGGAAAAAAATGTTGAAATGAAGGAAACAGCGGAGGTAAACGGCAAATCGCCGTTAACTTATTTATAGTTTACTGATCCACGTGTCAAGAAACTAGTGGTGGGGCACCTAAAGAGGCACACAATGGGGGCAGAAGAATTCTGTTCTAATTAGAGACGTTTCCCCCCCCGAAATATCACCGGTGATCGGTATATTTATCGATCTAACATCGGTCAGATTAAATTTTTCGATCTAACACCCGTAGCAGTAAAGCCCGCCCCCTGACCCGCGCTATACGCTGATTTGACGCCACGTGGGGTATAGCGCGCCCCTTGCACCTCGCTATACGCTGACTGGGTTACACGTGGCTATATCGCGCCCCCTGCTCCGCGCTATACCTATTTATCTGACACGTGGGGTATAGCGCGGTGCAGGGCGCGCGCTATAGCTTTAATTACCCAGTCGTTCACACCCTACCCTTCCCTATAAATACCCATTCTCAATCACTTTTATCACACCAAATTCTCTCAAATTCTCTCAAATACTCTCTCGTTTAAGGTATATTTTATAATATTTTTAATATTATATATTTAATTTATTTATGTATTTTACTTTATTTAATATTTTACTAATATAAATTTTTTGCAGATATATAATGGAAGGCAGTCTACTTCACTTAGATGGAAATCATATATCTCGACACTTTGTTGATATGGTAACATTTTAACGTTTTAATTTAATTTAAATTATTAGTAATAATTTGTTGATTTATTTAATGCATGATTATTAGATTAAGAATTAATTTTTGTAATTATTTATTTTTAGGAGAAGGACCGTATATTAGATCCTTTTATTAGAAATCTTAAGTTAGTGATACCTAGCCGAGTCTTGCTATATTTAGTAGAGGTTGGATTTGGTTACATAGGTAGATATCAGGGTCACTGTAAGATAGAACCAGACCTTATTTCTGCCTTAGTAGAGCGGCGGAGGCCGGAGACCCACACATTCCATCTTCCGTGCGGAGAGTGCACGATCACGCTTGAGGATGTTTCTATGCACCTGAGGCTTCCGGTGGATGGAGATGTGATATCAGGGATAACTTCCGGTTCTTGTACTACTTTGTG